TAACTGGGGGAGGTATCTTATCATCTTGCTTTTGTGGATGCTTGGCGTTATAGGTTATACTCTTTCATCTAATCAAATTGCTTGTTTCAAATGTATTATAACATTTTAGGCAATAGTGAGAATTAATGGATTATTAGGGGAAAAGGAAAAATGAAGGTGTTAGGATCGGGAACTCGGGTAGTGCGAAATTTAGCCAAATAATATTATAATGACAATAACAAAGACAATGCAAGTTGAAAATAACGGCAATTAAAACAGATAAAGAAGACACCAATTTAACGTGGTTCGGTCAGTGTGACCTACGTCCACAGGCGGAGAGGAGCAATTTCACTATACCAGCAAGAGTACAAAAAAGAGTAAAAGATTAGAGTAAATACTCTAATTAATCCTAAATACCCTAAGAGAATAATCTCACAAGATCACTCCAAATAAAGGGTTGACACAAGTATTTTCCAACACTTAACTCTCATACAAAACACTCTTAATAAAGGAGGAGAAGAAGAAACAAGAAATGAAGACTCAAGTCTTGTTTGTGTGTTTAAAATGAACTAATGGTCTTTCCTTTTATAGGCAAAAAAGCCTTGGCCTCTTAGTTGTAAAAGAAAAGATACAACTTGTGCAAATGATATCCACCACACAATGCAATATTTTTGGGTCCCAAAGAATATTGCCAACAAAGTCTACACTTCGCAAATATGTTTATGCTTATGTGAGATGGACTGCATTAGCTAAAATATTGGCCATATTACAAATCTCCACATTGGCCTAATTTTGCTGATATAGTAAATTTGCTCAACCTTCTCCGCAAAAGCCCCAATGGGCATATGTCAAAATTTAATGCCATCAAAATCAGATAAGTTGTCTAATACCGAAACTGTAGTAAGGCCTATAACAGTGGATCCCAATAAAGTATATAACGAACCAGATCTATGAGCTTTCATGATCACAAGAGCACCTTGAAATTTTTTTAGAACTCCACCTTCACCAGTGAATTTGCACCCAAGGGATTCTAAAATGCCCAAAGAGATGAGATTTTTCTTCAACTCAAGAACATATCTAACATCGGTGAGAGTTCTCACCACACCATCGTACATTCTAATCTGAATTGTACCTTTGCCAATAACGTTACAAGTAACATTGTTACCCAGTTGGACAACTCCACCTTCAACTAAATCATATGTAGAAAACAAGTCCCTGCTATGATACATATGATATGAACAACCGGAATCTAAAATTCATTCATTGTCTGATCAGAAACTAGTTTCAGTTGCTAAAAATATAGTTTCCTCAATCTCATCAGTTGCTACACTAGCTTCGGTGGTGTCAGTATTTTTGTGCTCATTTTTTCTTTCTTTATGCCTTTTTTTTATTTTTCAGTTTATAGCATTCAGAGATAATGTAACATTTCTTATGACAATAGCGACACTCTAAATTATTGTATCTGGATATGTAGTTGGATTTGCCCCTAACAAACAAGCCAACTTGCGCTTGAGTTCCACTAGCTTCCCTAGTAATATCACGATCTATCTGTTCTTTTGATTTTAAGATAGATGTAATATCCTTATAAGAGATATTATCCTTTGCATAAAGTATAGTATCTCTTATATGCTTAAAATATGGGGGTAGAGAACAAAGCAGTAACACGACTTGATCCTCATCTTTAATTTCAGCATCTATATTACTCAAATCCATAAGAATTGAATCAAAAGTGTCAGGATGAGAGAGAATAGAGGTACCTTTACCCATACGAATTGTAAAAAGTTTTTGCTTGAGGTAAAGCCTATTTTCCACCGTCCTCTTCATATATAAGGTTTTTAATTTTTTTCACATTCCCTTGGTTGTGGTTTCTACAGAAACTTCACGTAAAAACCCATTTGAGAGATTCAAATGATACCTGTTTTTGATTTTTTGTCTATGACAGCAAACTCCTCATTCGTTATTTTATCCGACTTCTTTTTCTTTCCTTTCAACGCCAAATCTAAGCCATCCTGAATTAGGATAACTTCCATCTTTAATTTCCATATTTAGAAGTTTGCACTTCGATCAAATTTCTCAACATAAGTCTTTGTTAAAGTTATCTTGGCTACTAAAATAAACCCGGCTAGATCTAGCTCTGATACCAATTTGTTAGGATCAGGAACTCGGGTAGTGCGGAATTTAGCCAAACAATATTATAATGACAATAACAAAGACAATGCAAGTTGAAAATAATAGCAATTAAAGTAGATAAAAAAGATACCAATTTAACGTAGTTCGGTCAGTATGACCTACGTCCACAAGTGGAGAGGAGCAATTTTATTATACCAGCAAGAGTGCAAAATAGAGTACAAAATTAGAGTAAATACTCTAATTAATCCCAAATACCCTAAGGGAATAACCTCACAAGATCATTCCAATGAAAGGGTTGAGAGAAGTGTTTCCCAACACTCAACTCTCATAAAAACACTCTTAATAAAAGAGGAGAAGAAGAAACAAGAAATGAAGACTCAAGTCTTGTTGGTGTGTTTAAATGAACTAATGGCCTCTCCTTTTATAGTCAAAAAAGCCTTGGTCTCTTAGTTGTAAAAGAACAGATACAACTTGTGCAAATAATAATTTTTGGGTCCTAAAGCATATTGCCAACAAAGTCTACACTTCGCAAATATGCTTGTGCTTATGTGAGATAGACTCCATTAGCCAAAATATTGGCCATATTATAGAAGGGGATGCCCATAACATTTGTGTGACTATAAATGCTTGACTCGATCCCGAATTTAAGAAAGAAAAAAAATGAACTTAAAATCTTAAAAGTTTAAGGGATAAAAACTTCGGAAAAAAGGGTCAAATATATCCCCTTACTATTGAATATTATTTAAAATTACCCTCACTTATACTATTCGATCGAATATATCCCTACCGTCTAAATATTGATCAAATATATCCTTCATTTGACGGAGGGGCCACATGGAGGGCTTCTAAGCTATCTTATACCCCAACCCATTACCCATGCTCAATACCCGATACCCCAAACTCATAACCCGAACTTTTCCAACAACTAAATAGCTGAACAAATTCCTTTGCTCAAAATTTCCAAAAATAAAAATATGCTCTTTGTTTTTTGACGTTCTTAATAAACGAATTAGAATTCCTTTTCTAAAAATGCAAATATGAGTTCAAATTTCTGAAACCCATTTAATGTTATTGTCGAATATCATTATTGGGAGCTGAAATCCGTGATTGAACATTATTGGAGAAAAAAAGGAGTTTCGACCGCCATTGACTCAGCTTTGAGCTTGGTTCAAAACTTTAGATCTGAAATTTTTAAATCAAAATCGATTGGGTGAGTTTTAAATCTGTTGTAAAAGCTTGATAGAACCCGAATCCAAAATCTAAGTGCATTTAGATCTGATTTGACAAGATCTTGATCGAAATTTTTTGAAGCCTAATTTGTGGAGAAGATGTACCGGGTTTCTTGACCTCATCTCTTATTGCTCAAATTATTTATTGGATCTTATTCGTATCATTGTACAGAAGTTGCGGGTAAAATCTGAGTGCATTTTGTGAAATTTTGATTAAGTTAGATCGAACAAATTATAATTGACTCCGCGAAGAAGACAATCTGAGCTTCCTTGATCACTGAGTTTTGTTCGAATTTTTGTTGAGAGTCTTTGGTTACAAATTGAGATCGATTGGAGAAGCTTAGGTTGAGTTCAGATTAAAATTTTGAAGCAATGGTTCCAAAAATTTGCTGCCTTCGAAGAACCTGTAACACTCCGTTCATGCTAACTATAACACTATTACCTTCTTGAATATCCGTATGCTTAACAAATTTATTACCTTTACTCGCACCACTTAAAAGGTCCTTTGTAACTTTAGCCATCACAATGGTACCAAAAAGAGAGAATAAATTGATCATCATCATTCATCATCAAGAGCAGGTGGCAAGTGATTGATGTACACAATTGAATCTAACCCAGAGAAAGAGAGAGTTTAGTTTTTAAGTGTTAAGAAGGATCGGGTTATGGGTTATGAATTTTGGCATCGGGTATTGAGCATGGGTAACGAATTGGGGCATAAAATGGACTAGAAGCCTTCCATGTGGCATCTCAGTCAAATTAAGGGTATATTTGATCAATAGTTAGACAGTAGGGGTATATTCGATCGAATAGTATAACGGATGATAACTTTAAACAATATTCAATAGTAAAGGGATATATTTGACCCTTTTCCGCAAAAACTTTATGATGCCCATAATATGTGTGTGACTATTATAAATGCTTTTTAATAAGGGTAAATGTGTAAAATAAAAAATTTAAGCTAAATTATTTTTAAATATAAAAATATCTTATTTTTTAAACTAAATAATAAAAAGTATGTTATATAAATTGAAACGGAAAGACTAACCTTCTTACCATTTAGATTCGGAGTAAACATTTCCTCCATCATTTTCTTTGTCCAAATAAAGTCTTCTATGTATTTTTGGGACAAATTGTAATAAGTTGCTTAACAAAGGTTCAGTCATAACCCATCACTATTTTACGTTTTACCTACCTCAAATTGATGATTTACAATTTTAGAAGAAATAAAACTTACCCGCATCCATATTTATTAGTCTTTCGTTCGAGTCTCGGTGCAAAGACTGGGCTCTCTCCTTGTACGTGAGCTGTCTATGCAAAATCAAACAAAGGAAATAGTTTTATTAAAACCATCTTTTCCTTTTTCCCTACTTAATAAAAATAGTAAGTATCTCTTCAATCTGTTCCCTAGGAGTAATAGTTATCTTATCCTATGTTTAATTTCATTAAAACTAAACCAAAAAATAAATTTGAAAAAAAAAACCATCCGTTTGGGTTGGTAGCACATGCAAAGGAGTTTTGCCAACTCAAACACCAAATAACAGCGTAGTGTGTGTCCAACCCAACCTGCTTCCATTTACATTTATACCCTCAAGTTGCACATCTCCTTCATCTCTTTGATAGTGAAACTAAAAAAAAGTAAAAAACTTGCGAAGATTTCCATCCACCAAATTCTCGAAAAAATTAATATTCAAATTCAAATCTACTAAAACAAGCCCAGATAAGAAAATAATTAAAAATATCTTTTTTTTTCATTGTCAGGTTTCTAATTGTTCATGCGCTGACTAAAAATTCCGATCATTCTTAAGTGCGAACCAAAAAACAACCCTAGAAAATCTTCTATTTCTTAAAAAAAATTCCCAATCTTCCATTCAAATTTGGTTTGAGACATATAGCCATGACTATGAGCAGCGGTGATTTCATCAATATTTATCCCACAGAACTCAAATTCCCATGTAAGCCCATACTTTTTTTTTTTTGTTATCTGCTATCATATTTATTTTAATTTCAGATTTATCAATTCCATTATTCAATTTATCGTTTTTCATTTGATGGGTTTGCTTATTTAATTGATTATCGAAATTGGTTTCTGTTCTTTTTGATTTCTTGGCAAACGTTAACCATTGGGAAGAGGAGAGTCCTGCCTTTTTCTATTCTTCGGCTGTTTATTTAGCTGAGTTTTGATTAATTTGGGTATTGAGTAATTCTTTCGTGGGTTTGTTTGATTTTGTATTGTAAAGTTGAGCTGAGGAAGCAGAGTGCATGTTCTTTGCAATTAAGTAACAAGACTGATCAATACATTGCATTCAAGGTGACTAACTATTTTAACAAGTAATTTTTTTTAATTTTTTAATGAACCCGTGTTATGTTAATTGTGTACTTATTGTATTCTGTGTTGGAAAGGTTAAGACGACCAACCCCAAGAAGTACTGTGTTAGGCCTAATGCTGGTGTTGTTTTGCCTGGTTCTTCATGCAATGTCACAGGTAACGGCATTTCCTTCTATTTGTTTTTGCCTGGTTCTTCATGCAATGTCACAGGTAACGGCATTTCCTTCTATTTGTCAAGCCTTTTAATCCATTACTTTCAAGAATTTGACGGAGACTGTCTTAGATGCAAACAACAAATTATGGTTGAATTGAGTCTTTACTAAATAAATTGTGTGGATTTTGTAGTTACAATGCAAGCACAGAAAGAGGCACCTCCTGATATGCAGTGTAAGGATAAGTTTCTAATTCAGAGTGTTCTAGCACCCAGTGGTACAAGTAATAAAGAGATTACGACAGAAATGGTGAGCTTACAATAATTCTTTCAGTCTCTTTTAGTATTATGGTTTACTAAAATTGGTATACATCTGCCTGTAGTTCAATAAGGAGGATGGGAAAGTTATTGATGAATTTAAATTGAGGGTTGTTTATGTTCCCGCAAATCCTCCCTCTCCAGTTCCTGAAGGGTCTGAAGAAGGTGGTTCCCCCAGGGCCTCGTTGACTGAAGATGAGAGTAAAAGCTCGTCCCTTCCAGAAGCGGTTGGTGTCTATAATTTGTAGTTTTTCTGTGATTCTTCATCAACTCTGGGCTAAAGTTCTCTTCTTGACCTTAATATCAGGTGTCACGATCTTTGGAGGAGCCTAAAGCAAAATCATCCCCTTCTGAGGTGAAACTTATTGCTAATATATAAAGACATTGCTTCAATCTGTGCATCACGGTGCAGACTAATGGTTCAGTATTGTCTTAGGAATAATCAATTTAAGGTTTTCTTGCACTGTTAAGTGTGCCTAATTCTTTAATTTGGCTCTAGGAAACAAGGTTTAGGCGAGCTAACTATTCGCTTTTGGACGGATCTTTTTAACCGTCATTCGAATGTTATTCTCATATAATTACTCCCTTTGAAGTGGCATTCTATTAATTATCTTGGAAAGGAAATGGTCCCGATCTCACACTGCAATTAAGAGCCCGTTTGGACATAAGAAATATTTCACTTTTTTTCGAAAAATTTTCATTTTTTTTGAAATCAGCGTTTGGTCATAAATTTTCCAATTTTTCGCTCGAAGATGCATTTTGGAATTTTTCGAAAATTTGAAAAACTCCAAAAAGCTGTTTTTCAAAATTTTTACTCAAATCACTCACAAAACTTCAAAAACAACCCAAAATTATATTCATGTCCAAATACAACTCTAATTTTCAAATACCATTTTCGCTTGAATTTTTTTTTACTTTTTTTTTGGAATTTTACAATTCTTATGTCCAAACGCCCACTAAAAATGTTCTTGTCATAATGCTCTTATTAGCAGCTTGATTGCTAGCGGAATGGGGTGATAACATGGGTTTTTCTATTGAAGTTTAGGTGAATCAATTCCCCTTAAATTTAGCAAAACTAAATGGACTTTCTCCTCTAGTTTTTGAAAGGCCAAATGCCTCCTCTCGTCCTCCTGATAGTTAAAGGTGAATGGTCTCTAGAATTGGTCTAATTAGACAGGGTTCTTCTTTTCCCTTACCCGATAGTTGTAAAGTTCATCTGCTTGTTGAACTCACAGCTGTCTCGGATCTTTCTTGGATGGTTTCAAAACCCCCCACAGTTTCTTCTCTATTTCAACACAGGATTTTACTATTCCTTATGTGCCATTTCAGCATCATTTCTGAACCTCTCCCGCTTCCGGTACGTGAGCTCAAAGAGAGAATACCTTTTCATTCCAAAATAAATTAATTTTGCAACTGCAAATTTGTATTATTTTGCTTGAACTGGACGGCAAGTTGAGAATTTACTTGAATGCTTGATCATGATAGACATGGTGGTGGTGGAGGTTGCACTCTTCGGGAACCGGCAAGCTGTGAGTTGGAAAAGTGGGCAGAGGGGGTTGCGTGTTTGGGAGGGAGACGGCTGGGGTTTGTTGGGTAAGAGTGGAAGAAGTGGAGGTTGATGGCAGGGCTGAATATGGTTAAGAGAAGGGATGGCGAGGTTGGGGATGGAAGGGTTTGCTGGGGCATCAGCTTAGCAGGGAAAAGGGACTTCACTGGTGCATGAGGGCTGCGGCAGAAGAAGGGTAGTGGTTCCACCTAGAGATATGAATGGGTAGGGTCAACCCCCTAAAGGTTGAAACCAACAACCTTTTGTTTTCTTTATCTTTCTTGTCTTAAGATCTAAGCAAAGCCAAATATATGGTAGCGTAGAATTGAAATGAAATTTATAGTCTGTGCTGACATTATTGTGGTTTAAAGGATGGCGTATGAGTTAAGTGATGTATCTTAAAGGACTATTCGGATTAGAAGCGATGTCTAAGTAATTCTGCCCTTCCTGTTATAGCTCCTTACAGTTTAGTATCCGCTCATCATTACATCGCAATCTTTCTCCTTTCCTTTGAACTTCCCTCTTATTTTGATACCCCTTCTTTGCTTTTCATTGGGACCCCTTATGGAAAATTTCCAAGATGGATAACTTTAACCAAGGACTTTAATACAGATTCCAGCTCTAACTCCGACAATTGTCATTACAACTACCACCCAAATGTTGACATAGCATGTCCACAGGTCAATTTCCGAAACCGAGACACAAGTGAGTCAGATGGACTCTTTAATTTCCTACATTCCAATCTCTGAACCATAATAGAACGATTTGGGTGTTATAAATAGCTATATGTCTGTGATTGAGTATATCATATAGTAATACAGAAATAATCAATTTTCATAAATCAGGTCAGGTATATGTTTGTTGGATATCTTTCTTTGATGTGTAAATAAAACTCTACAGAGGTTTGTCCACACTTCAATGGTCTACTTGGATGTTCAAGTCTTCAAGAGTTGACACGGTTCTCTGGGAAGTCTTACTTGTGGAGTTGTTGATGTGTGATAGTACTGTTGCCTTGTTCATGGTGTCTGTGATGATGGCTAATGGGTTGCTTATATGTTGTTGGACATTTCGAGAAGGGCCTTTATTTATGAGGGCAGAAAAGGCTGAGATGATATGTTAGAAAAAAGTAAGGAGTAAGGTTAACAAATTGTGGGACCACAGGATTTATGTTGTTCCCGCTGCAATGAATAATTTTACCTAAATGTTAGGAAAATGGGTAAGCATTTAAGAATCTTGTCTTCCCACTTCCTCTTCTGTTTATTCTATAAAACGAAGATAATAAGATCATATTGGTGCTGGGAGGATAAGATCCTGATTTATCATGTTGTGGAGTTGGTTTCTTAGAAAGAACTTGCTGATTTTCCAGGTAAGTTGTGCTGATAACGAGTAGAATGGTCTGTTTGTGTGTTAGTTTCAGGTTATTCTAATTAGTATATCCTGAGTGCTCTTTCTCTTTGTTTTTTCTTTCTCTTTACCTTATCAGATTTTCTTAAATCATCAAACACTTTGGGAGCTCTTTACGTAATATGATTAAATATTCGACACATCATGGGCAGTTATTGATATGTTGAAGAAGGCAATCTATTTTTAAATTTGACGGCAGAATCTACAGAAGAAATTTAACAAAAATGATGCTTGTAGAGGAAGAAGCTGAAATTAACCAGGTAACAATGAGATATTCGCGTGAATAATCAAAAGGAAACTGCAGGAGATAATCAACTTTGTCTCTTATAAAAGTAGTCAAGTAACTAGTTAAAACTTAAAGCGTCATTGACATTAGTACAGAAATGAGAGACTCGAACCATCCGATTGAGTGATTGTTGGAATTTTAAACCAAAACGATGTCTTTTCAGTTTAGTCACTCTCATATTTGGGAGAAGTACTGTGTCTGCATTGTGTAATTTTTGACATTTTCTTTAGGTTTCACGTGAGCCCTAACGTGAGTTAATGAGTCTGGTGCTTCCTGTTTCCCCTGATTTGATCTCATTGATCGTCAGGGACATACTGATGTTCACATTTTTTTCAAAATTGAAGCTGAACTCGTCTGACCTGTATTAGCAGCTTGCACAGTTTTCTGCTGCTGATTTCGCCTGGATGATTGAATATCCTTACTTCCCATAACTGCTGCTTGACAGATCTATTTTCAACTGAAGACTGTTTTGCCAAGTTAGTTTTTGAGCAATCTTTAACAAATACTTTCACTTCAGGCTTGGTCTTTGATCTCGAGGTTGACTGAAGAGAAAGCTTCTGCTCTTCAACAAAATCAGAAATTACGTCAGGAATTGGTACGTTTAGTGACTGTGTGAGCTTTTGAATCTTCGGGTTGTTGATGTGTCACTTTTTGACTTTGCTTTATAGAATTCTACTCTTTCCCCATCTATTGGCAAAATTCATAAAATACATGCCTGCTAGTGGTTGGGAGAAATCATCTTTGGTTTGGTAAATATGATGAAAGCAATAACAAACTTTTAGTGAATAATACTATAATGGTGATGACGCTTCAATCAGCTTCTACTTTACTACTTTATTCCTTATGATGGTGAGGTTCTCTCTTCAAAACATACTGGTTTGAAATGATGGGAGGGAATTCCTGTTGCTTCTTTGATGTGAAGACATATTGGGGTGCTAGTGCACTCTGGTTGGTAAATTTTACTTGGTTACCCTAGTTGGAAGTAATAAATTGGCAGAACCTTGGAAGATATTAATCTGAAATCTCCTTAGTTGTTCACATATACAACAACACAACAATAACAAACCCAGTATGTTCCCACAAGGTGGGGTCTGGGGAGGGTAGTCTGTACGCAGACCTTACCCCTACCTAAAAGGTAGAGATACTGTTTCCAATAGATTCTCGGATTAGGAAGGGTAATAAGAAGAAGTGGATAGCAAGAAAGGAAGAAAGGGGGAAGAGAAAAGAAAAAGGGAGATATAAAGGATAAGTAGTACCAAATACTAGCAACAAGAGA